TCTGTTAGGTCCACCTGTTCTAATATATTGTTCAGTGCCTCTGTCTCTTTATTTCTTTTCTCTCGGGTTGATCTGTCCTTTGGAGTGAGTGGTGTGTTGAAGTCTCCCAAAATGAAAGCATTGCATTCTATTTCTCTCTTTAATTCTGTCAGTATTTCTTTCACATATGTAGGTGATCCTGTGTTGGATCCATAGATATTTATAATAGTTATATCCTCTTGTTGGACTGACCCCTTTATCATTATGTAATGTCCTTCTTTGTCTCTTGTGACTTTCTTTGTTTTGAAATCTATTTTGTCCGATACAAGTACTGCAACTCCTGCTTTTTTCTCTGTATTACTTGCATGAAATATCTTTTTCCATCCCTTTACTTTCAGTCTGTGTATATCTTCGGGTTTCAACTGAGTCTCTTGTAGGCAGCATATACATGAGTCTTGTTTTTTTATCCATTCAGTGACTCTACATCTTTTGATTGGTGCATTCAGACCACTTACACTTAGGGTGATTATCGATAGGTGTGTACTTATTGCCATTGCAGGTTTTAGATTTGTGGCTACCAAAGGTTCAAGGGTAATTCCCTTACTATCTAACAGTCTAACTTAATTCACCTCCTATGCTATTACAAAAACAACCTAAAGATTCTTTTTTTCCCTCCTTTTTCTTCTTCCTCCATTCTTTGTGTGTTATGAATCACACTATATATTCTTTGTCTACCCCTTGGGTGACATCTATTTAGTCTTAGGAATACTTCCATCTATAGGAGTCCCTCCAAAATACACTGTAGAGGTGGTTTGTGGGAGGTAAATTCTCTCAGCTTTTGCTTATCTTAAAATTGTTTAATCCCTCCTTCAAATTTAAATGATAACCTTGCCTGGTATAGTATTCTTGGTTCAAGGCCCTTCAGCTTCATTGCATTAAATATATCATGTCACGCCCTTCTGGCCTTTAAGGTTTCTGTTAAGAAATATGATGATAACCTGAGGGGTTTTCCTTTGTATGTGATCTTTTTTCTCTCTATCTGCTTTTAAAATCTGTCTTTATCCTTTATCTTTGCCATTTTAATTATTATATGTCTTGATGTTGTCTTCCTTGGGTCCCTTGTGTTGGGAGATCTGTGCATCTCAATGGCTTGAGAGACTATCTCCTTCCCCAGATTGGGGAAGTTTACTGTAATTACCTCCTCAATCTCTTTTTCTCTCTTCTTCTTCAGGTACTTCTATTATGCAAATATTGTTCCTTTGGATTGGTCACACAGTTCTCTCAATATTTCTTCATTCCTTGAGATTCTTTTTTTCTCTCTGCACCTCAGCTTCTTTGTATTCCTCTTCTCTAATTTCTATTCCATTTACCATCTCTTCTACTGCACCTAATCTGCTTTTAAATCCCTCCATTGTATGTATCATTTCAGATATGGAATTTCTTAATGATTGAATCTCCTCCTTAAATTCATTCCTGAGTTCTTGAATATTTTTCTGTGCCTCCGTAAGTATGTTTATGATTTTTATTTTGAACTCTTTTTCAGGATGATTGGTGAGTTCCATTTCATTTGGCTCTTTTTGTGGGGTTTGTGAGATTTTGCTCTGAACAATGTTCTTTTGATGTTCTGTATTTCTGTGAGGTGCCCTCTATTGCCCAAAGCTCCAGTCTCTGGGGCTACTCAACCTTTAGAGTGAGGTTTGGGGTCACAGAGGAGTGGAGCTGGTGCCTAAGGGGAGGTAAGATCTATTTCCTGTTTCCCATCTGCGGTGCCTGTCTCCAGTGTCAGGGTCAGTGGGCCGAGCACACTGGTGTAGGCCTTTGTGCTCTGCTTCTCTAGCTGTTGTAGGTGGGGCACCCTCTGGCTGGCCTGATGCCAGAGCAGTGACTGCCAGTTTGCAAGCTGGTGCTATCAGGCCAGGAGGAAGGCTCGGCAGGCTGCATGTCACAGTGGGGGGCCTCAGAGCTGAGTGGGCAGTCAGAGGGATGGGGCACCTGAAGCTCCTCAAAGTTCCCAAGCAGCTGGGCAGATCTTGCCCAGACAACCTTGTACTCCTGTCCCTTCTCCCATGCAGCAAACTACATGCAAACCCTGCCCGTTCAGCAGCCCTCTTGCTGCTAGGGAGCCTGTCAGACCGCCTGCCTTGTCCTTGTCCCAGAGTGGCCAGATGTGGATCCATCCTCCACAAACAGCCGGACTCTCAGTCTCTCAGGCTCTCTGCCTATCTCAGCTTTCCATCCTCCAGAGCACCACACAGGGCAGGTTTCTGCTTGCAAAGTAGATCTCCAGGGCTGGGTGTTCAGCAGTCCCAGGCTTCTACCCCCTCCCAGCTCCATTTCTCTTCCTCCCACCCATGAGCTAGGGTGGGGAAGGGCTCGGGTACTGCTAGATCAAGGCTTTTGTATGTTACCCTGTTTCGTGAGGTCTGCTCTGTTCGTGAGGTCTGTGTGCAGTCTGGTGCAGCCTTCTTTCCTGTTGCTGTTTTAGGGTTAGTGGTATTAACCATATTTTCACACCATCTGTGGTTTGGGGAGGAGTTCTCTGTCTCACCTCTCATGCCGCCATCTTGAACCTCATTATCAGAAAAATGTTTTTTATATAAATAATAACGTGGAGTATCACCCACATGTATTAAATTATGGATGAAATATTATTCGAATAAAGGACAAAACTACACACTACTGCCTTTTGGTAACATTATATTTTATCGAAACACAATTAAAAATGGAGTACCATAATTCAACCCGATGTCTCACAATATGAAGAAAAATGTACATTGAATTTGATTGTGTGGAAATATGGAAAAGCAGTTTTGAAAGTCTAAAAAGAGAATATTTCTACTGATCATATTCACAAATGATCCAAAATAATAGGTCAGATGCTTCTGCATACAATATAGAAAACAAAATTAAGGTAGAGGATGCATGCATAAATCTAAAAATAAAGCACCCATAATTGCTTGAATTCTACTGCAGCTTACCTATATTTATAAAGATTTTCAACAATATAAACAGTAGTTTTCTCACATAAAATTTCAATCAGACTTCCTAATAGAGTAATTAGCTACAGATGCTTTTGTTTGTGACTTTAAAAAGAGGTGTGGAATTTATTAGCAAACAAGTATGTTTCATTGTGTGCAAGGTGTGTGAAGTGGAGGTGACCCAGAGCAGTGCAGAGGATGGATGGTGTATGTTGGATTCCCAGGGCAGGAAACAGGCATCAGGAAATTTACTCCTGCATCATCTTAATCCTCAAGGATTTGCACAGCCTAACGGATCAGAATGACACTAAAAATATTTATCTAATGAGGATCTTTGAATATTGGCCCCCCAGGGACATAGAGACTGTGAGGAGTCAGCCCGTGACAACCTCCCGGAGCAGCGCTGACCTAGTCAGGAGGCGCACACCTGTGCTCCATGCTGGGCTGCCCTTTCCTGACCAGGAGCCTCCTGCCTCACTTGGTGTCTCTGCCCTTCCTGAGGACAGACCTTCTGTCTTCAGTATCCAGGCCACTTTTCAAGCTTTGTTCCACATTGTCACCAGCCAGGGAACACAAATGCTTTTGTGAAGAGGACAGGTGTTTTAAAGCAACTACATCTATGGGAAGCAGTGAGGAGGGGACAGGTATGAAATGATCTGAGCCAGGCATCCCATGGTCTACAGGCTGTTTCCTCAGTGACAAGTTATGATGAACATTTGGACCAATACTCAGCCAGTTCTTGATCTGCCTGTCTCCTACATTCTCTAAAACATGGCAGAACTTATTTTCCTCCACAGCAGAAATCGCACCTTTCTCAAACACACTGATGTACATATTTCTGACATTTGCTTGAATTTTTGTGTTTCATAGGGAGGGTGTGTGAACAGCTTCTCCATTTGTTTCCTGGTTCTTGATGCACCCCTGCACAGAAGTGTGTCTGCATTATCCCCATAGCTGGGCTAGAGGACGCTGGGGAGAAAGTGGAGACACAGAGACTCCGCTGGCTGCCTTCCTTCTACACCTGCTTGTCTTTATACAATTACCATGTATATTATATAGCTGCAGCAGATGTAGTACAATAAATAAAAAACAGGACCACCTTTCAACTCATTCCAGGATTAATCAATTCTGATATTCCGCTGTATCATTTTCAGTAAGTAAAGTAACAAAACAAAATGCTTACCCCAGGCATGTCTCCTGTCTCCCTGTCAATTCTTGTTCTGCTTCCCAGAGACAACATCATCTTGCTGGTGAAGTAACCCTCCATGCATGGCTTTATGTTGTATATGTCTTCACACACTAACACGGTGTAGAAGGCCCCAACCATAATACCCACGAAGTAGGGAATGGAGAAATGAATTGTGATATGTCAGTATAATGTTGACCCTGCTAATTAAAATTAATTTGCCATGCACTATGTATGTCATGTCCAGGATGTGACCTGTCCTTATCCACATTTCCCAATGAAGGAGTGCAGTGGCAATATGGCCTGACACATGTGGAATTTAGCAAGCCTTTCAGGTGATTCTGAGGCATGCCAAAGTTTGGGTGCCATACCCTGCAAGATATGTTGGATAGCTTAATTGAACTCTTCCTCTTTCTTGGAGGCAGGAAATATATTTGAAGGAAACCCACGTGTTATTCTTTCAGTCTCAGCACTTTGGTACAAGGTGTGGCCCAGAGTTGGTGATCAGTAAAAATAAGGGACAATAAAGGGAGTGGATGGAGGACAAGGTGTACAAGTTGGTGATGGAGGGAGAAATTAGAAGAGGGACAGATGTGAATTCACTAGGGCTCACAATATATACAGTTTTAGTGCTTTATTTTAAGCACTGGACCCCAAACTTTAGCATATTTCAAAGCCTCTGGAGGGATTGTTAAGTTATAAGTGCCTGGTCCTTCCCCAGGATGTATCCACAGTAAGCCTGGAGTGCTACCACCTCTGCTCATTTCCACAAAGTTCCCAACTGATGCTCCTGCTTAGCTGGGGACTGTTCATTTCTTTTCCTTTACACTTCCTTTTCCATCAGATTCATAAATACCATGGAACCCAAAAATCACACAGGAGTTCCCGATTTCCTTCTTCTGGGACTGACAGAGGATCCAGAACTGCAGCCCTTCATCTACAGCCTGTTCCTGTCCGTGTACCTGGTCAGCGTCCTGGGGAACCTGCTCATCATCCTGGCCATCTGCTCTGACCCCCACCTCCACACCCCCATGTACTTCCTCCTCTCCCACCTGTCCTTTAATGACATCTGTTTAAACACAACCACGATCCCAAAGATGCTGGTGAACATCCAAGCGCAGAGTCAGCACATCCCGTACACAGGCTGTCTCACCCAGGCTGGCTTTGTTGTAGTCTTTGTTAGTTTTGAAAATTGTCTCCTTGCAGCAATGGCCTATGACCGCTATGTGGCCATCTGTCACCCCTTGAGGTACACGGTCATCATGACCCCCCGGCTCTGTGCCCTGCTGATTCTGCTCTCCCTGCTCCTTAGCCTTGGGGATGCCCTGCTCCACGGTCTGATGGCGCTGCATCTGTCCTTCTGCACAAACAGGGAAATCCCCCACTTCCTCTGTGAACTTGCTCAGGTCATCAACTTGGCCTGTTCTGATACCTTCATCAATAATATCCTTTTATATTTTGTGGCTGGCCCCTTTGGGGGTGTTCCTGTCTCTGGGATAATTTTCTCTTATATTCAAATTGTCTCCTCTGTTTTGAGAATACCTTCAGTGGAGGGAAAGCGTAAAGCCTTTTCCACCTGTGGATCCCACTTGTCAGTTGTCTCCTTGTTCTATGGGACAGGTTTTGGGGTGTACATTTTTTCTGCAGTTACTGACTCTTCCAGGAAGGCTGCAGTGGCTTCAGTGATGTACACTGTGGTCCCACAAATGGTGAACCCCTTCATCTACAGCCTGAGGAACAGGGACATGAAGGGGGCGCTGAGGAAACTCATCAGTGAGGTACCTGCCCTGTGATTCTGCCATCTCCTCTGGACTTGGGTTTCTAGAACGAGGCAATGTCATAATACTGGGAGATCCACAGTGTTTGCTTCTTCCATCTCCAAATTTTTCTTAAAAGCCTAGATAACATAATAGCAAATGAATTATCACCTGGAGATGAATCCTGAGTCTGCCTTTTATCTATCAATATGATATTTGACACATGTTTTCAATTCTCTAAACTCAGTTTCTTTTCTCAGTTTCCACTGAAGCAGAGGCTGAAGTAAGGGTCCCTATTTTAGGGCTTGATTTTATTTTGTGGATCATTCTGAGAAGTAGGAACGTTGCAGAAGGTCAATGGGCCAAGAAAAGATTGAAGTGAGGCTGTGGTCATATCTAGAGTCTAGCATCCACCTGAACTCTGGGTGGGGCCATGTCAGCTGCACCCCAGAGTCTGGTCTGTAGTGGAGGAAAGGAGCTGACCTGTTGAGTTAGCAGCCTGATCACTGGTATCCCTCTGAGGAACATGAGCATGGACCACACTGAGTCTCATTTTATGAAGTTTGCTGAATAGGTTGTCCCACTAGTTTGAGAAGGTTGTGAGATACATGAGCTTCATCGGTGAGAATGCCTTCATTTCTAAGAGCAAGGGTATCTGACTCCAGTATCCCCAAACAATAGAGTTATCTGTCATTGCAAGGATTCAGTAGAAGGGAATGTACAGGACAAGGGGAGCAGGGATACATTCAGACCTCTTGCATCTATTTTGGTTCTAGGACTGGTTCTCCTCAGGGTTATCAGGTTGTGGTTCCACATGGAGATGTTGTATCAAGACATGATACCCGCAGAGGGAAAACTGTCCTCCCTTGAGCCTGATGATGTCCGAATTTTCCATGAAGTTAACCAGAAGATATCTCTGTGATGGGATGAGTAGTGGCAGTTAAAATGCAATGTCCACATCCTATTTTCTCTGACTTGTCAGCAATAAATGTTAAAGGGATGAAAGTTACTTAGGTGGAATTAGTGTCTTTCAGAGGATGATCTTATTCTGCATTATCTGCAGGGACCCAACTTGTCCTCTTTGTCTCTTTGAAATCTTCCTGTCTTAATACCAGAGCAGGTACAAGAACAACGTGGATACTTGTATGTGAGAGACTGTCTTCAGCAGGCTAGGATTCAGCTTAGGATACACTAACCAATCACTGCTTTCTTTTCTCCTTTTGTCAAATGCACGTGAGCATTTCATCTTTTATCCAGTCCACTCCTCTGTTTTGGGAAAAAATAAAGATACATTACAAAGCACCTTAGAATAAAAGTGTTTTAATCTTTGAGTCATTGGGAGAAATGAATGTTTCATCAAAATCACAGCCATGACACCATGATATTTAAACATAATCTCTGGTTCTGAGTGTGGGCCCTGTTTTGAGGTTGTCCCTGACTACCACCTACCTGCATGGTTTGGGAACTGAAAATCCTGGAGAGTAGGGGAAGCATTTGTGTTTTTTTTCAAGTGGAAGTTATCAAGAGGCAGGTGATGGACTCTGATTTACCTTTCTGGATTCGTTATTCTGCACTACTTCCAGGTTATATCATGTAGTGATAGATGCTCAGCTTGAAAGTCTGGCTGTGTGATTCAGATCCCTTCACTGCCAAATCACATGTCAGATGCCAGGTCTCAATGTGCCCATGTGCCCGTAACCTCACTCACTCTATCTTTACCTTTATGTGAATTGAAGTCAAGAGTAAAATGGGGGTTGATGGACATACTGATCTCATAGGTCAGTTGAAGAATAAAATTAATAATAGCAGTGGTCTGAGAACTATGCCTGCTAATAGAGCTACATTAAGTATTAGAAGTGGTGGTGGTAGAAGCAGTTTACCGTAATTATTCCATTTATAATTATGCATGTTTCTAATATTATTAATTAGAAAATTATACCAGGAGATATGAAGCCAAATCAAGGAATACTGACATTTAATGGGGAATTGAAAGGACAGGATTTGGAAGTCCATTGATGATGCAGAGGATCACTTGACTCATGATCCTAAACTGCCACGCAGCCCAGCCTGCAGAGCACTGGTGACGCTCCCCGTCCGCCCGGGAGACGCCCTGGGTCTATTCCCACCTGTACTGACTTGGTCATCCATTCCTCCCGTCGGTGTGGGGTCTCCAGACCAGCATGAGCACATGGGAATTGTTAGAAAGGACACTTTTTCAGCTCATGCCCAAACTCCTAGATCTGCTCCTCTGAACGTGGAGCCCAGCAATCGGATTTATCAGGTCCGCTAACTGATGCTGATGCAAGGCACAGTGGAGACCAACTGGGCTAAAGTCTGGATTTGCTATGTTTTGGCATTTGTATTCCAGGTAGTTTGAAGCCTTGAGATGTTACTCAAGGCAAGAGCCATCTATTGGTTTTTTTCCCTTAATTTCAACAAGTTGGCATGATGTGGGCAAAGAGTAAATATTCTTTAAATAAAAGTGAGATGATTGTAGACTAGCACACAGGACTATACAAATAAAAGAAGGTAGGGTGTGATGCTGAGAGAGGAAAATGCCAAAGAGCGTGTCTCACAGTATGTATTTCAGATTAAAATGTGAGGGTTTTCTAAATTAAGGGAAATTTTACATCAATTATTGAGTCTATCACCTATATTTTTTTCCACTTGCCTCATCAACAACATGGACTGATAAAACCAAACAGGTTAGCTTAATTCCTCTTCCTGGATCATTCAGGGGATTCCGAACATCACTCTTTCTGACCATATAACTGGTCACTGTACTTGGGAACCTGAACCTCAACTCCATACACTCATGTACTTCTTCATTTCCCACCTGTCCTTTGCTGATTTGTGTTTCACCTCCACTCCAGCCCCCAGGATGCTGGGGCACATCCACAGACCAAGCAAGCCCAGCAGTTCGCAGACTGCCTCACGCAGCTCTGCTTTTTACCAGATTTTGTGGTCTTGGAAAACTTTCTTCTTGAGCCAGTGGTTTATGTATGACCGGTATGTGGCCTTTTGTTATCTACCACGTACGTCATCATCATCACCATTAGTCCCCCCAGCCCTCCCTGTAGCCTGCTGATTCTACTCTCCCTGTTCATTAGCGTTGTGGATGCCCTGCCTCAAGCTTTTGATAGGGTTTTCTTTCCACACTGTTCAGAGAACACCCTGTAGATATTAGAAGCTCTTGGAAATGCTCTAATCAATGAGGGGAGGGAAATCAGTGATGCAGGAGAGAGAGGGAAGAATGAGCAGAACTATGTCCTAAAGTAGACAGAGTCTGTGAGTTCTAAGCACAAGAGGATGTATAGCTCATGATCAAGGGGACATACAACTGAACACATTTCTATGAAGAACTAATAGAAAGCAATTCATCTCTTAAAAAAACACCTTCTCATGACACCTCATCCTACCCTCGCTAGTGCCTCCTTTCTCCTTTCCTCTTACAACAAAACTCGTCAGAACAGACCGCTGGATTCACACTCCCCAGTATCCTCCCATTTCTTCTGAGGCCATTCCAACCTAGATGCAGTCTCGAACATTCCACAGAACCCACACTGTAGAGCTGCTGAGGTTCTCTACCTTGTTAACTCCTGATTGTAATGATGCATCCTTCTTTGAATTGCCTTGTCTACAGGACTGATTCAGTTTATTGCTTATTTATAAACTGTCTTCACTTGGGTGACAGTGCTGCACCCTGTGTGGTTTCCCTCCTATTTCACTGACTAGTATTTCCTGTCTTCCCACCACGCATTTTCATCACCTTCCCAAACCCCAAGCACTGGAGGATGTCCACGCTCCCTCCCCAGATCTCTGCTCTGCTCTCGCTACCTTTACCTACGTGCAATAGCGTCCAGATTCATGGCTTTAAAAGACCATTCCAAAACTAAGGACTCCCGATTTTATGGCTCCAGAAAGGTACAAAGTTAGGAGATTCCATGGGTTAATATAATGAACAGCAATTATTAATGCTCATTTCCCATGGTCATATGATAAAATGTACAGCAATTAAAAGGAATGAATGAGAACTAAATGTATTGACACAAATAAAGTTCCAAAAAGCAAGTAATTTCCTAACAATACCTCTAAATCATGGTTCACTTAAAATAAGTTTTAAAATGACACAAATATGAAAGCTTTAGTCACTGAATAGAAAATATTTCAAGCATACAAAAAGTACAGAGAAAAAACTTCTGGTTATTCACCACTAAGAGCCATTAAATTAAATATCTTGCCTTATTTGTGGTTGTTGTTTCTAAAGTAATAAAATAACACATACTTATTTTTCCATATGCAAAATTCCTTTCCTCATGGGAACCACAACCTGAACTCTGATCCATTATTCCTGTTTTTCATAACTTCAATCAGCATCCATAAAACATATACTTTTTTTGCATTTTAGAGTTTACATATTTTACATGGCATTTTGGCATCACATTTTTTTTTTGAGAGGGCATCTCTCATATTTATTGATCAAATGGTTGTTAACAACAATAGAATTCAGAGGGTCAACGCTCAATGTACAATCATTAATCCATCTCAAGCCTAATTCTTGTCAGTCTCCAATCTTCTGAAGCATAACGAACAAGTTCTTACATGGTGAACGAATTCTTACATAGTGAATAAATTCTTACATGGTGAACAGTACAAGGGCAGTCATCACAGAAACTTTCGGTTTTGATCATGCA